AGTCCCAGAGCATCGCCCGGGGACTCCGTGACAAGGGGTTAGCCAGACGGGGGTGATGGGGAACTGAATGGGGCAGGGGAGGGGTTAGCCAGATGGGGGCCGAGGGGGGAACTGAACGGGGCAGGGGAGGGTTAGCTGGATGGGGGCTGAGGGGTGATGGGGGAACTGAACGGGGCAGGGGAGGGGTTAGCCGGATGGGGGCTGAGAAGTGATGGGGGAAACGCAGGGTGATTGTATGGGTGTCACGGAGTATGGGGGAACTCAGGGCCCTGCACCCCCGGCTTCCTGCGATTCCCCATGACTCTCAGCCAGCCAGTAAAGCAGAAGGTTTATTTAGACAACAGGAATACAGTCCAAGACAGGTCTTGCAGGCACAGACAACAGGACCCCCTCAGTTAGGTCCAGCTTGGGGTCCTCTGGCGCCCCAGCCCCCTTGGGAGGTCAGAGCCCTCTCTGCTTCCCAGCCACCTCCCCAGCCAGCTTCCAACACTCTCCCTTCAGCGACCCCTCCCACAGCCTTTGTTCAGTTTCCCGGGCCAAGGTGTCACCTGGCCTCCAACCCCTTCCTGGGCTCTCATGTTACACGCTCAGGTATTCGCCTTCGGGCAGACTCCCATCCTCCAATGCAGACTATCCTAGCCACACTCCCCTGTCAGCATTCACACACCACAGTAAGAACAGTCCCAGTTCGTCACATCGGGGAAATTCCTGCCGCAGGCTAGGCCAGGCTGGGCAACCCTCCGGGAACGGGGGAGCCCATCGCTGGGTGTTTATCACCAGACTGGACAAAGCCGTGGAGAACAAACCTTCCCCAGCCCATCCCCCTACTGCTAGTCACCCCACCCGCGAGGGCTGCTCGGAGGTTTCGGTGAAAGCTCCGTGGGGAAGGGGCCTGGGCGTCCCGTTCCCTCTGGGAAGTGCCCAACACCCCTTTGGGCGCTATACGATACACACCTACTAATAATGACTGGCAGCACCTCCTGACACCTTCCAGCCACGTGACCACAGCCAGGGGGGCTGGTGCCCAGGCCGGGGCGGGGTGAGCTAAGCACACCCCCGGGCGTGGTGACATGCTGTGCACGGCTGAGGCCTCTGGCTGCAAAGGCCCCTCGCTGATTCCAGGGCGTGTTTTCCTGCGGGTAGCAGCAATACTCCCTGCTGAGCTGCGCGTACCTGATGGGTCCATGGAGCTCAGGGAAGGGCTGCAGGGGGAGCAGAGCCGTCCCGCTCGAAGGGGAGATGCTGTAGACACTCAGGGCAGTGACGCTGGCGGGGATGTCCGGCTCTGAAGGGATTAACCAAAGGGCAAAGCGTCAGCGGGCAGCATCGCACGCTGTCTGGGGAGACAGGAAGGGCCCCTCTGACAGCCAGAGGCACAGAACTGCCCTGTCTGCACCGGCCCATTTTGGGGGTGCTGCCAGGCCTGGCTCAGGAACACTGCCAGGCTGTCTGGGCATAAACCCCCCTGCTCCTGCCGTGCTGTGCCTGCCCTGGGGTGAAGGGAGTGCACAGCATGGAGGTGAGCGCCACGCCGCACCCGGCTCAGCTGGGCACGCTGGGCCTGTGCTCTCCTGGGACACAGCACTGGGGGAAAGGAGAGGGGCCGGGAGCCAGGCCAGAGAGATCTGGGAGCTGCTTTTGGTCCATGCCCTGGTCCTCGGCCCCCTCAGACTCATCCTGGAGCAGGGAGGTTGTAATGATGCTGCCTCTGGTGGGACACAACTGAGAGTATCAATTCAGGACAAACCGCTCAGATCAGGGCAGTTACAGGCCAAGGCTGTGGTTTTTCCACCTCTAAGGCACCAAACCAGCCAGCCAGCGAGGACTTCGGTCTCACCCCGCTGGCTAACCAGAAGTCACCCAAGCAATTCCCTAAGACACTCCAGAAGTAAGACGCAGGAGTGAAGACAAGATGAAGGAGATACAGCAGCCTTTTCTAGTCCTTTTGCCATGTGGCCTCTGCTTCCTCTGTTCCAAAGACAAGCTACCCAGCACCTGGCCTGGAAAAACCTCACAGTTCTGTCCATAGGCCTGTCCCTGCCTTGCTGAGTCACAAGGGGTGTATCTGCCTCCTCTCAATGGGTCAGTTGTGTAGCTGATAATGGTCCTTAATGGGCCATCAAGCAGGCTAGCAGTGCTGATGCCAAATTGTCTGGGGTGTCACTGTGACAGGTTCTCTGCCCGGCCCCTCTTCCGGAGCCCGCTGGCTGTCCCAGTAAAGTGCAGAGAGGTTTCCAGCTATTCAGCACCCGGGGTTCTCCCACCACCAGTGCTGAGCTATATACAAGGCTGGCAGGGTTAGTTCCCACTTTCTAAGCAGTCGCCCACAGCTCGGAGACTGACCTTTCCCTGACTGGGCTTTTCTCCTGGCTCCAGCCCTTGTAACTGCTGGCTTGTCAGGCCCGCAGGTGGAGCCAAGCCGCAGGCCAGGCATCAGGTCTGTCTCACCAGCCCCGATCTATTTCTCTTGACTGGAGCTGGCTGAGCAGGGGTAATTAGGTGCTTTTGCTACAGTCACCCAGAAGCACAGCACAAGTTTGAAACACAGACAGTACAGAGCCAATACTTATAACTTTAAATACAAAATGATACATGCACCCAGACAGCATCATCATAACCAGCAAATCATAACCTCCTCATAGACACCTTACTTGACTTTCTTTGTACAAGATTTGGTGCCACTGTATGACCTTGGTTGCACCAGTGATCTATACGGTCACAGTTCATGTCACTAACGTCACAGAGGCCCTTACCAGAGATGTTGGTTTCAAAGTCCCAGCGCGACGCCTGCCCAAGGCCGGCAGCTGTGAGGCCCTGGATTGTCACCGAGTAGTTGGTCCCGTGTCTCCAGGGCTGCAGCAGGTACTTGGTGACCGACTGATTCACCCGCAGCTCCTCGACCTCAAGGAAATCGCTGTCGTACTCTCTCCTGGCCATGATGTTCAGCTAGAGAAAGGAATGCGGCTCTGGAGAGGAGCGGTTCTGACCCCCAGCCCCACCTGATACACAGGGCACAAGCCCCACACTGCTGGGCATTGCTTGGGCACCCCTGTGCCAGCAGGGACTTCACCCCCATCCCCCACAGCACGGCAGAGCTGCCTAGCCCAGCAGCACTGGGGAATTTCTCCTTCCTCTGCGGGAGCGGGCACTGCTCAGGTAGGGTGAATGCCCAGGGCCGCTCCTCGTCACAGGGATCCCCCATTTGTCAGTGTCCCCCGGGGAGGTGCTGGGCTGGACCGGGGTCAATGTTACCCAGGAGCCGCTGGCCCGGAACCCTCCCGCACCGGCTCTGGCTCGGGGCTGTTATCGCTTTCGCTGTGTTTAGCTGGGCCCCCCCAGCACCCCAGGCCCAGCCCCCGAGGAGCCGACCACAGCCCCACAGGTGCTGACGGGGCCGAGTGCAAACAGAGCGCTGCTGAACGGGTGCTTGTCTTTCCGTTCAGAATACAGTGCCCCACCCAGGTCCCAAGCTCGCCCGGCCAGCCAGCGGCACGTACCGAACGCCCACACCCCGGCCCCAGCTGTACCCAGCCCAGGGGAAGAAAGGAGCTGGGACTGTTGTGGACCGGAGGTGGGAGGGATCCCAGAGCCAGAGGGCCCTGCCAGAGAACATCCTACCAGCACCGCCTGCTGTTACCCCAGGGGCTCTGGCTCGGCCGGTCAGCGGAGATGAAAACCCAGAGCCGAGCGTCACCTGCAGGCTGCTGCTCCCTCGCCCCCACCAGCCTCCCGGGGAGGAAGGCAGGGAACCCCACCCGAGTGCCCCTGGGCTACGAGCCATTTACCCCAGGATCTCCTAGGAGAGACGGCCCCTTGGCAGCGACCGAGGCCTAACCCAGACAGGGATTACAGGTGAAAAACAACTCCCTGGATCGCAGCAAAGAGTAACAGGTGAGAGCCCGAAGCACAGGGGCACGGAGCCGCATGCTGCGCCAGGCAGGATCTGGGTGTGACGGTGCAGTCTATATGGTTTTATAAAAAATATGCTAATGAGTGTGAATATAATGTAACTAGAATATGCTTCATGCAAAAGGTGTCTTGTAAGGTATCATTACAAAGCTTATAATCTATTGAGTGTGGTCATCCTATTTGTATAAATGTATCACTCTTGTATCAGAAACTAGAAATATGAAATATAACTCTGAGGGTCTATTGTACTTACGCAAAGTGTGGGCCATTAATGGTGGTTTGGAATCTTGATGGCTTCCATCAACCAGGACAATTGTCTGTAGATGGCTCTGTTTTACTAGCAAGCCTTCCTGTATACGCATGTGTTGGCAAGTGGGTAATGAAGTCTTGCAGTGACATGTGATCATGTCACCTGAACTGGAATCCATCTTTAACCTGGTGCTTTTCCATTGAGAAGGAGGGGGTGGGAACCCAGAGTGGGACAAAGGATTCCCACCTTATGCAAAAGATATATAAGGGGGTGGAACAGAACAAAGGGGGCTGCAGTTATAAGAAATCCCCTAGCTACCACCTGAGCTGGAACAAGGGCTGTACTGGGGAAAGGATTGGGCCAGACTAGGAAGACGTCCAGTCTGTGATAGAAGCTTATTGGAACATCTCTGAGGGTGAGATTTACCTGTATTCAGTTTTCTTATTGTATTAGCCTTAGACTTCTGTGTTTCTTTCTGTCTGTTATTACTTGGAACCACTTAAATCCTACTTTTTATATTTAATAAAATCACTTTTTACTTATCAATTAACCCAGAGTATGTATTAATATGGGGTGGGGGAGGGCAAACAACTGTGCATATCTCTCTATCAGTGTTATAGAGGGCGAACAATTTATGAGTTTACCCGTATGTGTTTTATACAGGGTAAAACGGGTTTATTTGGGGTTTGGACCCCACTGGGAGTTGGGCATCTGGGTGCTGGAGACAGGAACACTTCTTAAGCTGTTTTCAGTTAAGCCTGCAGCTTGTGGGGGATGTGGTTCAGACCTGGGGCTGTTTTTGTAGCAAGCAAGCGTGTGTGGCTCAAACCAGGCAAGGGACTGAAGTCCCGAGCTGGCAAGGCTCAGAGGTAATCTAGGCACATCGGGCGGCAGTTCCCAAAGGGGTTTCTGTGACCCAACCTGTCACACGGGGTCAGAGCCCGCAGCACAGGGGCATGGAGATGTGACGAACTGGGACTGTTCTTAATGTGGTCTTTGAATGCTGAGTGGGGAGTGTTGGCTGGGAAGGCAGGGAGGAGAGTGTGGCTAGGATAGTCTGCATTGGGGGATGAGAACCCAGGAAGGGGTTAGAGGCCAGGTGACACCTTTGCCCGGGAAACTGAACAAAGGCTGGAGGAGGAGATGCTGGGGGGAGAGAGTTGCAGGAGCTGGCTGGTGGAATGGCTGGGAGGGAGACGGGGCTCTTAACTCCCAAGGGGGCCGGGACGCCCTGGGGCCACAAGCAGGACGTAACTGAGGGAGTCCCTGTTGTATGTGCCTGCAAGACCTGTCTTGGACTGTATTCCTGTCATCCAAATAACCCTTCTGCTTTACTGGCTGGCTGAGAGTCATGGTGAATC